TGTGTGTGTGTGTGTGTGTGTGTGTGTGTGTGTGTGTGTGTGTGTTGTTTTTGTCAATCATGAGGCTTGAACTCAGGTGCTGTCCACTTCCCATTTTCTGGTGGTTCATTAGAGATAAGAGTTCATGGACTTTCCTGCCCACGCTGACTTTGAACTATAATCCTCAGATCTCAGCCTCCTGAGTAGCTAAGATTACAGGCGTGAGCCACCAACGCCCTGCAAGTCAGGATTTTGTTTTTGTTTTTATGTAATGCATGCTTGCTTGGAACTTGTAATCCTCCAGTTTCAGCCTTCCAAGTGCTGATATAGTAAAGGTGTGTTTTACCATACTTAGCTTAGTAAAGGTATTTTTATCAACATTTTACAATAATTCAAGCAAGACATCAGTAGCATTTTAAAACAATTGATTACCCAAAGTCATTAAACAAACCAATGAAGACTGCTTGCCATTTTGAAGAAGGAAGTACAAGATTGAGTAAATAAGCACTATGACCTTTTTAAAAAGGAAGTCCAGAGCTTGAATGTAGACACATAGCTTAGCTGGGAATAGGTAATTTCCCAAACTCCCTAGATTAAAAATAAAAAAGTGAGACAGGAAATAGGAATGAAGATGATGATGAAGACTATAGCTGGGGCAGGGAAGGTGGCTCAGTGGTAGAGCGCTTGCCTTTACATGCATGAGGCCCTGGGTTCGATTCCTCAGTACCACATAAGCAAAAAGAAAAAAGCTGGAAGTGGCGCTGTGGCTCAAGTGGTAGAGCACTAGCCTGAGCTGAAGAGCTGAGAGACAGCACCCAGGCCCAGAGTTCAGGCTCTACCACCGACCAAAGAAAAAAGACAACTTTAGTTGTTCCCAGTACAAGATATTTTGTGTCAGTGTACCTGTATTGCATCTGATAATCAGGGAAATTATTTGTGTCCAAAAGGAGCATACTTTAAAATTAAAGTCCTTGGATATCCAAGACCTTAACATTATTTGCTCTTTGCTCTCTATAAACATCCCTAATAGACATTCTAGGAGAAATTACAAATTCCCAGATTTACCCAATTGTTTTAATGTATTATCTTCTCCAGTAGTCACTGACACCTCTATTCTCTTGCTGGGTCCTTTTGGACATCTTATTTTTTTACAAGATTTTCAAGAATTCTTCATCAGGACCACCATCTGCTCTGAATTTCTCCTACCTTGTTTTTAATGTTTATGAAAGTTTGTGATCTTTTCAGAAGGTTGGATTTTGTAGAGGAATGTGCTTGTCCTTCATGATTTATTCTTTTTTTTTTTTTTGATTCCGGTCGTGGGGCCTGAACTCTGGGCCTGGGCGTTGGCCCTCAGCTCTTCAGCTCAAGGCTAGCGCTCTACCACTTGAGCCACAGCGCCACTTCGAGCTTTTTTCTTTTGGCTTATGTGGTACTGAGGAATCGAACCCAGGGCCTCATGCATGTAAGGCAAGCGCTCTACCACTGAGCCACCTTCCCAGCCCTCATGATTTATTCTTGTCTAAGTACATTGGCATTTGGCCATTATATCATGCCCTGGAATAGCAATATAACAAGTGGGTTTGAGCAGATTTACAGCTTACTAACATTTTTTCTCCAAGGTGCCATTGTAGAATCTTCAGTGAAAAGATACAAAATGATAGTATAGTGTCATTTTTTTTTGGGGGGGGGAGGGGACAAAGTGAGTATAGGATGTGAACCAGGTGAACCATTGGTAGTACTGGTGAACCAAATATCTAGCAATGTGAAAATCCTGTCACACTGTCCTAATATTTGCTCTGTATCTCAGGGATGGAGCAGTTTATAGTGACTACACAAATAACTAAACTAAAACTTATTTCAAACTCTTTTTTTTGGGGGGGG